TCATCTGGTACTCTTCTTCTTGCTCTTGACTTTTCCTCGGCGTTTTGATACTGTTGACCATACTATTCTCTTGAGACTGCTGCATNCTTTTTTTTAATATTACTGGTTCTTGTCTATCTTGGTTTTCTTCTTATTTCTGTAATCGTTTTTCTTCTGTTGTTCTCAATAATTCTACTTCTAACTCCTCTACTCTTACTTTCGGGGTACCTCAGGGTTCTATCCTTGGCTCTCTTCTATTTGTACTCTATACTTCTGAACTACCTCGTATTATTAATAACTTTTCTTTCTCTAGTCAACTATATGCTGATGATTCTTACATTTATACTTCTTTTCCTCCATATAATCTCAATAGTGTTCTTCATAATTTATCTCTATGTCTTTCTTCAATTATCGCTTGGTCTGACACTATGTGTCTTAAACTTAATCTTTCTAAGTTTGAATTAATTTGTTTTAATAAATCTAAACTCTTGATATCTCTCATAAGTTTCGTAGTCTAGGTTTTATCTTTGATTCTACTATGTCTCTCTCTTCTCAGATTAATAGTGTTGCTAGAAGCTCTTACTTTCATCTACGTAGAATAACAAAACTTTTGCCTTTTCTTGACGATCCTACTCTTCTCCTTCTTGTTACTTCGTTAGTCTTATCTAGGATTGATTATTGTAACTCGCTCTACTATGGTCTTCCTGACTCTATACTCTATCCTTTAAGTAAAGCTTTCAACTCTGCTGCTCGTCTAGTTGCTCGTGCCCCTTTCTTTTCTCATATATCTCCATATCTTGTTCTCTTGCACTGGCTACCTATAAAATATAGAATAATTTTTAAAATTTGCACGTTCATGTATATGTCTCAATCTAAATTATTTCCTAAGTATTTATCAGATATATTAATTGAACCTAAACGCCCTGGTTTACGATCGTCTTCTCGTTTTTTCTTAACTCGTGTTAAACACTCTTTTGCCAAATCTGCTTTGCTTTTTCTGGTCCTTTTCTCTGGAACTATCTACCTACTTCTCTGACTACTTCTCCATCACTTGCGAAGTTCAGAGCGGATCTCAAGACCCATCTGTTTTCAAAATTCATTGAGGAGCGATTTTGAACATCGCGGAGATAACGCTTTATAAGCTAATTGAGTGATGGATTGTTCTCTGAAGGTGCAAAAACCGCATTACATGCACAGGTGTGTAATGTACTGACAGTATTCGAACCAGGTAACCACTCAATGACGACAAACACGAGACGAAACACCACTCTGAATCAATTCGTCAACCAATGAAATATAACCGGCACTAAATTGACTCAACACGACTTGGTTAAAATGTACCGACGTCAACCTCATAATCGGTTGTATATATTTAACATTACATATCGTGGTAAATTCATTAATATTAACGTGACGGCATTGCCGTATCAAATGAAAGCTTGCTTCGAATTCATTCATTCATTCATCCATCCATTAGATGCACTACAGGACATCTGTGCACAGTTGGGTGAGCGTAAAGTCGAAGCGAGAAAGAAGAATTTGTGTCAAATTTTTTGAATCGTTTTATATTTTCGATGACAGAGAACAGAAAAAATTATAAAAAAGTTCACGTTGAAAATGGTTTCAGTTGTCTCCTTCAAATGCCACAACATTCTCAGATGAAACGTAAAACCTGCCATCTCTTTCATAATTTAACAACCTTAGCCAATAACTATCTCCAAAAATACTTGCAGCAGTCCCAGATTTAGTGAGTGTTTGAACAATTTCATACTTTATATCCAAGCCTTCCTTCGTTGTTTCTGTCCTTCTATTCAACAAATACTCTTCAAACGAGGCACAATTTTTCAGCGCTTTTTGTCCCCACATTAAATTGGCCAACGCTTTTAAAACGGAAAAAGCGGCAATTTTTAAGGCTAATATAGGTTGTGAACTTATCGCGACCAGCTGAGAAACAAGGTCTTTAGAAGAAACTTTATAGAACCAACTGTGTACAAGAGAAAGAACTTCCGACTGTTGTTCTTCTAACTGCAAATTTTAAATTTAAAATAACTTTTCAAATGAAAAAATTTCAAAACTGAAAAAATTTTTGAACAATAGGAAGGAACCTGACAGGAATGTAGATGAGTTGATACAATGAATGCAGTGCAGTGATCCTCACTTCGGTAGGTGGTTGAGTTATGAGATCACCGATGGTTGGAAGATATGATTCAAATCTGCCTCCTGCCACGTGATGCAAATTCAACATTTTTAATGAAACTCAATTGCAATCCCAAACAAATACTCAACTTTTTTCAAACATATCTGCATCACATCATTTATAACCTGTTTGCCTGAGAGCAAGTTTGCCAGCGACAGACGACCCAATAAGACCGATGGTCTGAACTGCAATAAGAAGTAAGCTGCTGTCTCGAGATCTCAGAGATTCAAGTACAACTTCAGTGAATTTTTGATATTTCGAATTAACAAATGACGGCTGGATGTAACACAAGCTTCCGAAAAACTTTATCAGACCTACACGCAGATTTATTAATTTATTAGCTTGATAAATTTGTCAATAAAATTTGTCCACAATATGTCTAAAATATTTATATTTTAATTTATTGAATAAAAACAGTAAGGTTAATGTTGATAATGATCAACTACCAAATGTATTTACGTTAAATAATAAATTTTTATCAATCAATTACAAAAATGATTAACGAACTTATAGGTCAACCAGTTAATCAATTAAACAACCAACCAACCAACCAACCAACCAACTAATCAATCAATTAAACAACCAACCAATCAATCAATTAAACAACCAATCAATCAATCAATATAATTAAAGAATCAAACAATCAATCAATCAACTAATTGTGCTCAGTTCAGGGCACACTTACCAGGCAACAGCAATCCACCGAAGGGGTCATCTGATGACTTCTGCAGCAAGTTTTGTAGCCTTTCATCAACATTCAAACTTTCCAAATAAGCGAATCCATGTCTACTCATTGCAAACTTGCTGGCAATTTCAATGGCGTTCAGTTGAGATAGGATGTCTCCATCATTTTCAAATATTTCCTTTACTAATTTGCTTATGAAGTTCAATTCACTGTCACCCTGGCTTATCAAATAGTATAGAGATTCTGGTGTGTTTGTGGCTATCTCTACTATAACCTGAATAAGAAAAATTAATATGACTTATAAAATCATTGAAGATGTTTGAAATTTAGAAAGTTTAATAACATCCATGACATTGTGTAAGACATATGAACTAGATTTAAATATATTGATGAATACAAGTTATAATCAGAGAATCTCACTTCGTAAACTCTAAATTTGACAATGTCCTTCGAGCAGGCCACATCTGTGAACAACTTGAGGCATTCAGTACTCAGCAATAAAAATGCTCCTTCACTTGTTTCTCCTATCAATTAAAAACATCAACAACCAATAACACAATCAGTGATAAAATCATCTCAATAAAAATACATTGTGTGATATAAACTTTTTGAATTTTAAATCGTGTATCTCTATGCGTAGAGAGATAAGAGAAGATGTGCAATGATCCACAAACCAATTTTAATGAGAATGTTGTGAGTAGTGGCAGCTACTCCAGGCAAATCCGACTGAAGTTGTTCTATGGTCAGCCGAATGATCTCTCCATAGTTACTGAAGTGTTGTCCACTGTCCTTGGCTACTCTTTCAATCTGTTAGAAAAACTTGTGTTACAAAGTTATTCTGCAAAGAGACATCCATGAAAATTTATAAATTTTATAGATCTATAAGATATATAAATAACCAAATGAAATAATAGATACCTGATGAAGCGACAAGTTTTTAATGTGAACATTGCCAGACTTCAATCCCTCAACCAGCTGTTGGTTGAAATTTCCAAGGATAACTGCAGGACTGACTGCTGTCAACAGCTTGCACAGCACATTGCAACAACATTCTAGCTGGTTACTTAATAATAAATATTTTTTTTTATCTACCGTTATTTTTTTATTTGTTATTTAATTTAATCATGGCCACTAACTAAGTCTTGGAAGGTCATGACTTAAAGGTCATGTCATAAAGTCACAAAGTTGAATATTGGTAATTTCATTGGTCATTGCCATTGGTAATTAAAAAGAGAAGTTGAGAATAAAAAAATAAATTGATTTTTTAAAATTTAAATAATAAAATAAATTAAAAAATGAAAAGAACAGCTCAACACTTAAGTCTTAACTAAAATTAATTTAATTAAAATTATTAAATGAATATAATATGTAAAATACAAACACAGTAATGAGTAATTGGTGATAATACTCACCCATTACTACTGTACAGACATCGAAATAAATTATCAAATTTCAATTGGGGAACAAATGAAGCCAGCGCAGATGGTGATATAGCAGTTAGGGCCGCATCTAACTCGGCCAACGTCAGGATGGTATCACCGGAATTAGGCAAACTTTGTAAAATAGCCGACAGATTTTCAATAGTAGTCATTGTTTACCTACGTGCGTGAGAGCAGCACAACAAATGATGAAACTAATCGCCAAAAAATGATTAAAAGTGCATAACGAGAAAATTTTAAATATATATATATATAGCCAGAATAGGTTAAAAGTATCGTGTTATCGATAGAGTGAGATCATCGAAATCCACGTTTAAAGATCGAAAATGTAGAATAAACCGTATTGAACCAATGTTCTACTTTGGATTGATCTAGATTTATAAGCGTATCGCATATATTTAGAATACCGTCTTCAGGAGAAAAAATTACTGAAGGAGTATTTTGGAAGTCATTAATAATAATATGTTCACTTTCTAATTTATTTTTTACAAAACAAATTATTTTTCGTCAAATAATCCAGCAAATGTATAAAAAATAATTTATCGCGAATAATTACATTACATCGAAATTAGTAACTAAGGTGAAAATATGGTGAGCTTCTTTGTAAATAACGGATACGCGTAACATATTCAGAATTGAAGGGTTGGTTATGTGATGCTAATTTTAGCATGTCAATTTATTGTAACTGCATTGTACGTACACGCGCTAAGGAGTCAATGAACATTTGAACAATAAAACTACGTGAGTTGGTAACGTCAAACAATTTCGCATAGCTTCGGCGAAATTCATTGAATTTATATATATATATATATATATATATATATATATATATATATATCAAAACATAGAGATATAATTATATAAATAGATTTACATATTTTAAAAAACCTTTTGACAAGGTGGGTCGATCCCGGCGGTACTGCAATGCAATTGCGTGTAATTTATTTTAAATTTCAAAAAATCCCCTTTAAAAGGGTGGGCCGATCCCGACGGTACTGCAATACCGGGCCAACCCGCGGAGAAGTCTGAGCAAGCTCGAGACATTCTCCTGCTTCCAAACAGTAGTTTAATATCGATGCCCCCCGATGGAGGGCGTATCAGATATTAAGCTGATAAGAACAGATACTACACTTTGATCTTAGCCAAAAGGCCGAGAAGCGATAACACAGCAGACTCGATAATTCATTATGAAAAACTAACGAAATTTAGTCTGAGGTGGAAAATTTTTATCTAAAAAAATTTTTTTTAATAATATGTTTCATTGTTGAATAATTAAAAACAGAATAAAATTTTGTATTAAAAATTATTTATAATTTTAAAACTTGTGGACTTATTACAAATTAATTTAATATGGAGGTGGCTCTAGCGGATAAAAAAATTATTTTTTAATATTTATAGTTACAATTATAGTTTTCGTTAGTCGGTCGTAAAGCTTTATAAACGTAACATGGTTACAGTTATAGTTGTACATGCATAAAATGTTAAAATGTCATACCATGATAAGTTGATTTGTAGAACAATGCATTGAATATCAACGTGCTTTATCACAAACAGCTATACGACTATTTAATTTAGATTTATTTCTCGAAAAGCTATATAAAAAATACATATGCTGAACATTTTCAACGCCTCTAAGTTAACAACGGTTACCAATGAGATATTCAGTATTGAAAGACTATGTGATGTTAAAATTTTAACATGTCAATTTATTATAACTGCATTGTACAAGCGCTAAGGCTTCATTGAAAAATGTAACTTCATGAGATAGTAACGTCAAACAATTTCGCATCACTTCGGCGAACGCTTGACTTGCGCAATTGGCAAGTTTATTTGATTTGATATATATATAATATGTGTATATATATGTATATATATATACATATATATACACATATATATATATATACATATATATACATATAGATATAATTATATAAATAGATTTACATAATTTAAAACACCCTTTGAAAGGGTGGGCCGATCCAGGCAGTACTGCAAAACCGGGCCAACCCGCGGAGAAGTCTGAGCAAGCTCGAGACATTCTCCTGCTTCCAAACAGTAGTTTAATATCGATGCCCCCCGATGGAGGGCGTATCAGATATTAAGCTGATAAGAACAGATACTACACTTTGATCTTAGCCAAAAGGCCGAGAAGCGATAACACCAAATTCTCGATAATTCATTATAAATAACTAACAAAACTTAGTCTGAGGTGGAAAATTTGTATCTTGAAAATTTTTTTAATAATATGTTTTATTGATGAATTATAAAAAAATAAAATAAAAATTTTGCATAAAAAATTGTTTATAATTTAAAAACTTGTTGGCGTATTACAAATTAATTTAATATGAAGCTGGTTCTAGCGAATAAAAAATAAAAACACTTTTTGTTTATATTTTTCAAAATTTTCAATTAACCGCGAACATAAAATGTAAAATATTGATGAAAAATGTATTTCTCTAATTGAAAAATCATAATGATTGAACAAAATAAAAACACCTTAATTTTTTTAAATAATTATTTTTTCTGGTAAACTTTAAAAGCGATAATAAATAGGTGATATATCTATTTTCTATTGTTGATGTAATCATTTGAGCTTGTTTTTGCATTTTTCTTCAAGATATTACATGAATTGTCATTTGTGCTGTATGGTTAATGTGGGGGTTTTTTGACACTGGACAAACCAACTAACCTTGTTCGGGTGAGCTGTATGCGGTAAATATATATTTGTCATTTTGTGTGTGTAATGTGTCTATTTCGTTCTTTTTACAGCAAATCAGTAATGCTCCTAATTTTTCTAAATGGTGATTCTGGTTAATTTAAACAGTCAATTAAACAAAGATTTTTATTAGAATTATTGGAAACTACCATAGATATATTTATAAAACTAATTATAATTATTTATAAAGATCACTGCGTTTTTGGCAGGTGTTTCTTTGATTAACTTTAATTCTAATTAAGTTACAATCAACGTCACTGTAAAAACAAAAACACAAAGACGGAAATATACTATATAACTACACTTAGCAATGGCAGTCGAAGCCGAAAAGAGCTTTTCTGTAGAAATAACGGTATTAATAATGTTTTGTCAAAAATGTCAAATATTAAAAGTTTTTTTAACCTTAATAAACTTCATAATGATGATAAAAATCTCGCTAGAAAAATTGAGAAACTCAACTACAAGTTAAACAATGCCGAAAACGCAGTGATATTTATAAATAATTGTATTTATGATAGTCTAAACCCAAAAAAACTAATTATATATACAATACTCGCGAAAACAATATCTATGGATATTTATATGGATACTCAAAATATCGTAACCGAACAAGTTTCATAGTAGAACCATGCTTAAAATATATCAACGTGCTTAATCAACGCCAGTTTTTATTTAGATATGAATGATTAAAATCATTTTTTTAATCCATTTTATTCACAAAAAATCTTGAAAATATTTATATTGGAAGAAATAAAACCTTTATACTTTGCACCCATATATGTAGAATATACATAGGAAATCAACCATTATTAACATTGAACATCCGATAATACTATGCACACAATAGGGTTGTAATAATTCAGAACTATAAAGCATAGATTAACAAGCGTTTAAATTTGAACTACATATACGTTGTGAAAATGATAACTGTGGTGTAACGGTAATGTGTGATATAGTTAGACTTGAAGGGTCATGTGATGTTATTTTTAATATGTCAATTAACTATGACTGCATTGCACACGCTCTAAGCAGTCAACGAACAATGTAACTACATGAGATGGTAATGTAACGTTAAACAAGCGCTCTGCTTGTCTAACAGACACGTTATTACCTTGATAATCATACACACGCACACATCTATATATACAAAATTACACACACACACACCTATTCATATATATATGTATATATATAATTGCGTGTAATTTATTTTAAATTTCAAAAAATCCCCTTTAAAAGGGTGGGCCGATCCCGGCGGTACTGCAATACCGGGCCAACCCGCGGAGAAGTCTGAGCAAGCTCGAGACAGTCTCCTGCTTCCAAACAGTAGTTTAATATCGATGCCCCCCGATGGAGGGCGTATCAGATATTAAGCTGATAAGAACAGATACTACACTTTGATCTTAGCCAAAAGGCCGAGAAGCGATAACACAAACGCCTTGATAATTCATTATGAAGAACTAACGGAATTTAATCTGAGGTGGAAAATTTTTATCTAAAAAAAAAATTTTTTTTTATAATATGTTTCATTGTTAAATAATTAAAAACAGAATAAAAATTTTGTATAAAAAATTATTTGTAATTTTAAAACTTTTGGACTTATTACAAATTATTTTAATATGGAGATGGCTCTAGCGAGTAAATTTTTTTTTTATTTATAGTTAGTTACAATACATTATGAAAAACTAACAAAACTTAGTCTGAGGTGGAAAATTTTTATCTAAAAAAATTTTAGTCCGTCGGTCGTAGAGATATAGTTCTATATACGTAACATAGTTACAGTTGTTTGTATATACAAAACTTGTTTAAATGTCATACCATGATAAGTTGCTTTATAAAAAAAATGCATTGAATATCAACGTGCTTAATCGCAGGCAGCTATACGACTATTTAATTTAGATTCATTTCTTGAAAAGCTACGTAAATAATACGTATGGTGAACGCTTACAACGCGTCTATGTTAATAACGGTTACCTGTGACATAGTCAGATTTGAACTGTTAAGTAATGATTATTTTTACGTCAATTTATTATAACTGCTAAGAAGTTTAGATCATAAATTTTAAATGTCCAATATGGTTTTGTCGATGATTGTGGCACAAGAAACGCTATCTCTAAGCAACGAATGATTAGTGAACGAGCGATTGAAATAAAGAAATATATTTTCTCACTAAAGTTATTAGTTTATTAAAAACTTTAGTGAGAAAAATTGAAAAAACGTATATATAAATATACGTTTATATATATATATATATATATATATATATATATATATATATTAATTCATATATAATTTCATATATACTATATGTTTTGTTAATTACCTAAAATACAACTTAGTCTGCCATCTTATCTAATTAGATAAGAATTGAGCTAAGCTGTTGCTTTAATTTGGGCTGCTGATGAGTCCCATAAAGGACAAAAGGGGTCTAGCCTAAACAGTGGCGTAGCGACTATAAAATTCAACCTAGGCATATTTCTTTTTAGCGTTTATAATATAACGTTTTTAATAATTTTTGACTAGATATTAATTTTTATAGAAAAACTTAAAAGTGCGCCCGTTTGAAATGGCGTGCCGGACAACTGCCCAGGCTGTCCCCCCTTCTACGCCACTGAGCCTAAAACGAGTTGGGCGATGATGTGCTTTAGTACTCGTAGTGGCCGATGTATCAGATGACCGATCAACTATTTTCAACCATATTTCTTACACGTTTTTACAATATATATATATTACACATAACATACAACATAACAAATGTGTATATATAACACCATATTTACTTAGCCTAATATAGAAATCTCCGATTTGTTTTAAACTTTCTTAAAAATTCCCTTTGACAGGGTGAGCCGATCCCGGCAGTACTGCAGTACCGGGCCAACCCGCGGAGAAGTCTGAGCAAGCTCGAGACAGTCTCCTGCTTCCAAACAGTAGTTTAATATCGATGCCCCCCGATGGAGGGCGTATCAGATATTAAGCTGATAAGAACAGATACTACACTTTGATCTTAGCCAAAAGGCCGAGAAGCGATAACACGAACGCTTTGATAATTCATTATGAAGAACTAACGGAATTTAGTCTGAGGTGGAAAATATAAAAAAAAAATATTTTTTTATAATATGTTTTATTATTGAATAATTAAAAACAAAATAAAAATTTTTCATAAAAATTTATTTATAATTTTAAAACTTGCTGACGTTTTACAAATGAGTTTAATAAAAAGCTTGATCTAGCGATTAAAAAGTATCAAAATTTTTTGCTTTAATTTTTCAATTCATAAAATATTTATAAAAATGTATACTTTCAATTGAAAAATCATATAATTTAAGCACTAACGTTTCATGACTGAAAAATGAAAATTACCTGATTTTTTTTCTAATATATATAATTTATATATTTTCTCTGGTAAACTTAAAAAGCGATAATAAATCGGGAGTCCGTAAATTACGACACCTAAATTGGTATCTAGCTATTTTCTGTTATTCATTATTTACGTAATTATGTAATTATTTGGCTTGCGGCCTGCCTCCATCTTCTTCAAGATGTTGCATGAATTGTTATTTGTGCTGAGTGGCTATGATGGAGATGTTTTTGTGCTGGACAAGTCAACTAATCTCGTCAAGGTGGTAAATTCGCGGTAAATTTGATTTCTTCTCTTGTGGTGTATTCCTGCATTGTATTGTTTTCTCAGTTCCATCGTATGCGTGTAGTTAGTGCGTTGTACAGTGTTGTGTGAATTCTACTGAACTGTTGGCATGTCTTCAAATTATGTAGCGTGTTGTACAGTGTTGTATGATTTCTACTGAATTGTTGGCATGTTTTTTCAATTTATGTACAATATTGTATGAATTCTACTGAATTGTTGGGCATGTCTTTAATTTATGTATTGTGTTGTACAGTGTTATATGAATTCTACTGAATTGTTGGCATGTCTTTTCAATTGAATATATGTACAATATTGTATGAATTCCACTGGATTGTTAGCATGTCTTTTCAATTTATATGTAGTGTGTTGTACAGTGTTATATTAATATATGAATTCTACTGAATTCATATATTAATACATTATGTCTTCAATTTATATGTATGTATGTAGTGTGTTGTACAGTGTTTGTTATATTAATATATGAATTCTACTGAATTCATATATTAATACATTATGTCTTCAATTTATATGTATGTATGTAGTGTGTTGTACAGTGTTGTGTGAATTCTACTGAATTATTGGCATGTCTTTTAAATTTTTCCTAATAGAATTTTTTCTATTCAAGTTCAGTATGAAAGTTTAATAAAACTCTTGTTATCCAAATTCATCATGCAGATCCAGATAGATAGGCTTTATTTGTAATGATAATATTTCTATTTTCAATAAATTGAACAATTTCCAAAAAATTTTAGTAAGAAAAATTGAAAAGACAAACTTTTAAATTGATTAAATTAATATAATGCCAACAATTCGGTAGAATTCATATAATACTGTATAAAATATGGTCTCTTCCAAATTTACACTAATGTTCTGTGCATATCTTAAATTATAAATTTTAAATGATAAGCAATACAATACAATAGATACACAAGAATGCAATAATACACAGAAATTTTCTTTTTTACATTTATTACTATCTATTTATTACTGCTTTTTAATTTAATTTACTTACATATGAATCATATGATTTATGATGCTTATTTATATGGTAATAATAAACTTATAGCCTATTAATGACATCATGATACTTTTAAATGTTGACACATCACTATTTTACTTTTAAAAATTTTTTTTAAATTTAATTAAAATAATTAATACTTATACTACCCCATAGCGTAGTTAAATCATTCTTAATTACATTTAATGAATGAATATTGTTTTTAAATAAATACCAAATAAGTGCTAGTATGGTTGTAAGCTAAATGAAAGACTAGAAGGAAGAACAGTTGTAAGTGAATGATTGACCGTGACGTGTTGAAACATTCCAGGTAGCCAAGAACCTTCCATTTGTTCATCCGACTGAAGAATCACTCTTGAATAGAATATGCATCCTTGCCACACATTACATCAAATTCAAAACATACATCGATCTGACAAGTACATCTCTTTAATTTCTACTATTTAAGATTAAAGCTCCGTAGCTTTCATCTACATGTGATTCCTTAATGAATAATGTTGCTTCTTCTTGTCTCTAAGATAATTCTAAGGTAAGACATCAGGGATCGTACAAAAAAGCCTTTGTTAAGGGACTTGAATTAATATTGGAGCCGTACTTGAAGCTTTTAGTCGATCTCGAGAAAAAGTTGATCAAAGATTCTCATCTCACTGTTGCCTATATTCAATATGCCACTGAAAATGTATGTTTTTTTTTAAGTTTGCTTATTTGTTTATTTATATTTTCATTCAAAAGTTTCTTGATTGGTTACATAGCACTCAGTAAAAATTCATTTTTTTCAAATTTTTCATTTAGTTCTGAATTTGGTACTTACAATTTTAACTTTAAAATACAGTCGGACCTTCTTATAGCAAGACTTCTATGCAACGAATTTCTCTATATAACGAATTTCTCTATATAACGAATTTCTCTATATAACGAATTTCTCTGTACAACGAATTTTTTTCATATCCCTTGGAATTTTGCACATAAAATTTAACTGTTTCTGCAGAAGAAAAATAAATTCTTTTTAAACAAAACTTTATGAAAGTTGAGAGAGATATCTGACTGGCAAACATTCCATGAATTGATATGAGCTGTGTTTTTTACTCCTTCGATATCTTAGAACCATATTTTTTGCTCTAGTTTTCTCGTAATTTTTGTGAATTCTATCACAATTGATTTCAATGGAATTGGAATCATTGTTACATAGAAGAAAGAATAAATTTTTCTTTTAAAATTTTAATTTTTACAATTATATCATGCATTATTACTTTCTTTCATTAAAATAAATGATTAGGAGGTTGCTTTTTATAAATATATAGCATAGAAACCCCTTTTAGGCAATATAGAATTTTTCCCCAAAAAAATTCTACATAACAAAATTTCTATATAACAAATTTTTCCCTGAAACCATCAAATCGATCCAACTTAAAAAATGATTTGAAATGATTCCAGTATCAACAGTGGTTCCCGGCAGTTTCATTGCTGGTCGATCAAGTTTCTAATGACAGGGTTTGATTTTTTTTTTCAAATTTTTAGTTCTTTGTTTTTGCAACATTTAATTAATTAGGTAACAATTTAGCTTAAAAAATAATGAACAAATACCTTGTTTGCAATAGTTTCTATGATCTGATAAAATATTCGATTGTTTATCTCTCTCTCTCTTTACCTTTCTCACTCACTCTCTCTCTCTCTTTTTTCTCTCTCTCAAATCTCATGATCCTTATGAATTTTTGTGTATGAATATCTGTCAGGTACATGGATGTGAAGTGTTGGACTTGCTGCATAAGTCATCCATAACAGGCGTCCAGTGCGTTCGGGACAATATACTCAAGTGTGTTTCAACGTCTTCATTCATATTTATGTTGTGTAGTGCCTGCTGCTGCTGCACGGTGTTGTCCTGTCATGTATGTCGTCTCCGTCAGATTAAATCTTTAAATGTTAAATCAAGTTAATTCCTTGTTATATCATGATGAAAATAACATTCTATTTATAAATATTTAACCATTAGTTTCAATATATTATATATGGATGCATATGTTTATATATATATATACAGTTATATACTTATAGAGAGTTATAAGTAATTCTTAAAAGATTTTAAACTGTTTGAAATCTGAAGTGGATTTGATTTCTGTCTGATCAGAATCCTCAAGTGCTGCCACACAGTTCTGTACAGACAGTTGTTGTCATGGATGCTCCATGGAGAGTTAACAAACAGCACGGGAGAAGGTTCACGTTGGGGCTTCTTCATACAACACCATCTTGAAGACCATCACAATGTGATCAAGGCTGATAATGATGATGATGATGTGAGTAGGATGATGATTTGATGATGATGGGAGTAGAATGATGATGTGTCAATGGGGATGGTGATAATGATGATGATGATTTAAGAATGATGATGATGATGAAGATGACGTGCGAATTACGATGATGATTATATCAATCTTGCCATATGTCTTCTGTTCTTCTAGCAACATCAGCCTGCATGCATAAATTTTTTACATTTCTTTTGATTTTTTTGCATTATATTATAATTCCAGGTTTAATTTTTAGATCCATACCTTTATAATTTCACGTTAGCACTAAATGTTAACTTAAATATGTTCACCATGAAGGATGTGGAGAAGAAATCCAAGAGGATTCACCTGTATGAGGTGAACCTGGCACAGCTGCCTTCCTACATTTCTGTACGAGTTGCTCAGAAAATTTTGTTCATCGGCCAGTCAGTCGATCTGTTCAGAGGAAACAGGACAAAGGGCTACCACTCCATGTGGCAGCCTTTTAAAGGTTCAATAGCGTTGCATTCAAAATTTGTGTGAGCATCTTCCATATTTAACTGACTCAATTAATGTTCTCAATTGAAACACTGACAAGCTCATTGCATTTAGTTTTCACGGATGGAACAACGTTAGTTCTGACATTTTTCCAACCTGCTGATGTAACTTGTTTAAGATCTTGCGTGATAGTGAACGGCTTGTTCATATTTGAAATTCTGAACGTTATTCTGATGATGGATATTTTTGCTTATATTTGGTGATATTACAAAACTTTGAAGTTTCATTTTGATAACCATAAATTAGATGACTTTATCTCAGTCATCCTCTAATTATTTGTTGATTTTTAGTTACAAATAAATCTTTAATTTTTAAAATATTTAAAAATGTAATGGAAACATATCTATCATCTTATTGGTAGTTGTTGTTTCAAAGCGAGTGGGCAAATAATTTCTAGTTTCTAATGATCCAAGGGCGTTAAAATAGCCGCATCGTGCTGAAACGCTGTTAAGCTGTAAACAAAAAATTTCAGAGTCCATGATGTCATTGAGGGAGGAGGAATTCAGCAGGGATATTGATGAACTTTCCAAATTGGATGTATTTGACGCCATCAAGTTTGAGAGCACCATTGATAAAATCAAAACTTACGTGGCTGGGGTTAGTTTGCTGCTGCTGCTGTTTGCAAATCAACCAAAAAAATCTTTGCCATGTTTTTGAAAGTATTTTACTTCCATATAGCAATTGAGAAATTTGATGGTCGACGAGGCTGACATCCAATCAAATTTGAGGAGATTTAAAGATTTTTTTCTGATTGGTCGGGGTGAATTATTTCTTACTTTTATTGACCAATCGCAGCATCTACTTTCAAAGCCTCCAACACTTGCCACTCACCGAGGTAATTCATCTCTCTTATTATATTCAGATATTATATAATGTATATATCGATACACACAAACTCACACACAACACACACGGATATATATATACATTTATATATATTTTTTATTTATTTATAAATTTATTATTTTTATTCTTTATATTACATATGCTTAGGTTCATTTTATTTGATGGACCAACTAAAAAATTTTATCAACTAGAAAATGAGCTCATTGTTGAAGATGATTTTAGGTTCATCAAATAAATTTTTAGACGATTGCTGCAGAGATATTTATCTTCTTGGTTATATTGTTGTTAGACATGTGTAACGCACAACGTTTCAGCTAGTTATTTTATTTTATTGTGTATTATAAAAATAATTTGGTCTTAAATTTAATCGTTGGTTGTTTCTCAATGGAGCAGATGTGAACCTGGCCTTCCAGCATGCAGCCAGGGATCACTCACTGGATGAGAAACTCTACAAACAATTCCAACTTGTTATCCAAGGTACTGCTTGCTGTTGTTAAGAGTGGTTGCATGTTACTAAGAGTGGTTGCTTGTTGCTGAGATTGGTTGTTTGTTGCTAAACTTGGTAGCTTGTTGTTAGGTCTGGTTGCATGTTGTTAGGATTGGTTACATGTTGTAAGGATTGGTTGCATGTTGTTGGGATTGGTTGCATGTTGTTAGGATTGGTTGCATGTTGTTGGGATTGGTTGCATGTTGTTGGGATTGGTTGCATGTTGTTAGGATTGGTTGCATGTTGTTGGGATTATGTCAGAAGAGTGAAGTACATGAGAATGATTTCTTTTTTAAAATGAACTATTTTATATTTTGCAAGTGCATGTTTTTGTCTTATTAGTTTGCCACGATATTTTTTATTATCACAACTTTATTTCTTTTCATTGTGACTCAGTTTTTCAACCCATTATTTTTTTTTGTGTTTTATTTCTTTCTTTTGTTAGAAGAAAGAAATATTAATTATTTTTATTCACTCTGTGACAATGTATGCAATTTATTAGCATATTTCAAACGTTTTTACAGCCTACGTATCCTAGACTATCTATTATTTTAATTTTTTAACTTATTGATGTTTACGATATCACTGAACTTCCTTTCACAAAAATAATCAGTTCATATGAAATATTATAAGATTTAATTAAGTTTCATTTTATTTCCTGACGAACAGACGCCAACTCAGCACAGTCAATCACCGCCACATCGTCGTCGTCGAAATTCCTGCAAACTCGAGAGAGTGGCTGGAACTGTTTGAGGATGGTGGCTCATGTTCAGTGGCCTCTTCATATCGTCTTCACCGACGTTGTCGTTCATAAGTGTGTTTTTGCTGCGTGGTGAATGTTGGTCAGTTGTTGGTGTTGATCAGTTGTTGGTGTTGGTCAGTTTCATTTTTCTTTCATAATTTCTTGATGCAGGTACAGTCAGTTGTTTTCTTTTCTTCTGTACGTGAAGAGGATTCAGATAGAGTTGCAACAGTGCTGGTCCCTGCAGATGCAACAGCGCCATCAACATTGCAACAAACTGGCCAAAAGTGAGCAGAACAAGAGTCCTCTTCATCATTCTCCCCTGAAGTGGAGACTAAGGAATCACATGGCATTCATTGTTGACAACCTGCAATATTATTTACAAGTTTGTTTCTATCCCTCCCAATTCAAATTACCTTCTCGTATCATCAGTATCTTGCTATCATGATATTTAACTCGTAACGCGAGCCAGGTGGATGTCATTGAGTCTCAGTTCAGCATCCTGTTTGACAAGATACAGAGCAGCAAGATTGACTTTGAAGAGATGCTGCTGGCTCACGAGACCTTCCTCAACTCACTGCTTGCTCAGTCTTTCATCCACGTCAACCAAGTTACTTCAGCATTTCTTTTCAATACTTCTTCCTGTTTGATTTACTCTATTTTAGCGTTGGAAATAGGGTTGATTCGTTTTACGCATCTGCTTACTTCTGATAATGAAAAGGAAAATGATGGTGATGTTATGAGATGTTGTGTATGTATAATTTAATTTATAATGTTGGTGATTATTTGTGGTGGACATGATAATGACAGCAGTGATAGTTGGAGCAACTTTCTTGAATAAGGTGAACCATTGTTTGATGGCTCTTCTGGATTTGTGCCATTCATATTATGGTCTGGTGGTCCATGCCCAGGCTGAACTGACTTCCGTGCAAAAACAAAAACTTGAGGACATTTCAAAAGTAAGGACATCTCAGTTGAGAAGTTTTATTGATTTCAAATCTGAATGATGTCTGATGTTTCATAGATATTTAAAAAGTTACTATTTTCAGTTTGGTTGGCATTACTCTTTTCATCTGATGTTGTATGCTGATTGTATTTGAAAATAAACAATTATGGAAAATTTTAAGAACCGGTTAAAAATACCAGAGATGACAGTCACAAATTAAAAAGTCGGAAATCGAACGCGACAACCATTTATAGCCGATGTTATTAATGGAAGAAGAATGAGCTGGAAAGGCTCGTGCTGGGAATGAGTGAGAGAAGATGCGCTGAAAAAATTTCAAACTTAAAGGTAAAAGTTTCATAAGAGCAAAACTAAGATGGGGAGGTGGATAGAGAGAGGTAGATTTTAAAACAGTTTATAGGATTTCAGTTTATAGGAAATTGGAGAGTAGGGGATTGGTGAATGGAAGAAGAGAAAGAGGGCAAATAATGGAAGGATGTAATCGCTATTTTTTTTCAAAACACTTTTTCATATTATATTTATTATATTATTATTATTATCAGTAATCGTTTTTTTTTTGTTGAAACACTTTTCATATTATACAACTGACGTAAAATAATTGTAGGGCGGACGTTCGATTATTATTTATGGCATGCATGGCATAGGTGTCACTAGCCTCAATCATCATTCAGATCGCTAATACCAAAACATGCGCGCTGTTTTGTGTTTACAATTACATATAATTGAAACATCGCTAGGCATAATTGCAGGTAATGCATGTCTCCATTTATTCATTAAACGACCTGCCAACTTACATGTTGTGTTCTTACGACTTGCATGTTATGTTGTTACAACTTGCGAATTACGTTATATCGTCACGATGTCCAGGACTTCCACCGCCAGTCTGGTTTCCTGTTCGTCATCTTGTCTCGAATTCGCAACAACCCCCACCTCACGCAGCTCCTGCTCAGGATCGACTACAACAACTACTTCTCCAAATCAAAATTTTCTTCTACTCTTCTAACAAAACAAGTTCACTCTGCTTCTTAAATATTATTTTCAAATCACTTTTGATTTATTTGGTTGTTCCTAAATATGAAAATATGACTCGTTTGTAACACGCTTGTATTGAATTATAATTGTAAGGACAGAAATAATTTTTTTTTCCGATTATATGATATAAAATAAGAACGGTGTTGATTTTTTCGAAGGCGGTACATTTGTTCAGCCATGCAAACAATTTTTACACTTGGTTTGCCGATCTGAGCTGTGTACATTCGTCGCCAAGGTCGATCGATTTTTTACAGGTTGGTTGTTGCGTGTGTACGTCCTCGTGCAAGGGGGACATTAGTATGATTTATCAATCGGCTGTATGTGGAGGTTCTTCTAACGGGGTACTTATGTATTCATTGAAAATTTCAGTTGCACAATAAGCATGCTGACCCGTGCAAGCTTTACCAATATTTTTCAAATGTGGTTTCATCATATTTCGGCGTGGGTGCACAGACTGGCTCAAAAAATCTGCAGAAAGTTTTTGTAGAAGGTGAATTGTGCACACATTATATATTTTCTTGCGTGTGTTTTTATTTTGCGATATGCAAATTTTTGCCATCAAGTTTTATAGGGTTATCTTCGAGTAGTAAATTTTTATATGAATTGTGTGGTATGATAATGCGCAAGTTATAACACAAACAACATCTCATGTTAAAATGGTTTGTTTCCCAATCCTATCGGTGCGTAAACTTGGGCGTTATATGAGAACCTGTTTAGATGTATGTCACTATATAAGAAGCGTATTAAGTGCAGGTAGAAGATGAATGTGCACGCGAGCCACGTACAGACTGCATGAAGATTATAAGGTTGCGCACAAAAATCGATATATAACACGGATGATGAATTAAAGTTAAAAAGACCTGTATGTATGTGTATATACATTTTTTCTAAATATGTATTTGCATTGCATATATAACCGAATGTAACAATTTACCAGTGAATAAATGCACGTTGAATGCATGGACTTTGTAACGAAAAATGCTTATTGAAGTTCAGCAAAACAATTTCGACTTATTTAAATTTGGTTTTGCAATTTAACTAGCTTTAAATGTTTCTATTTTTCGAACTCTTATTTTCTTCGTGAGCTTCAATATATTAGACATTAATTTAGAATAAGCAACGCTTTTTAGTAAGTAGCATTGGATATCGCAGCATAGCACAGCGTTAAAAATGCCTGGTTTACTCAAATTACCTTCAAGGAATAGAAACTACGACAGCATCCATTATTTGTGCACTGTTAAGTTCCTGGATGACTCCGAGGCACTTTCAGTCACCTATCAAGTTAGTGAGAAGTTTTGATCTACAGTGTTTTTTAAATTTTATAAATGAATAAACAAGGGTTGCTCTAGCATTGATTCTTGTTACAAAACAGATATCCATAATTTTGATCGGAAAGTATTGAGCTGAAGTGATGTGGATAACTAACTATTATTTGTGCGTTATAAATGTAAGAATGTTTGACCAACAATTATAATCTAGGCGTAAACCCTAGTTTAACCTTCAGAAAATGGTAGATAAATGTAACTTTTTCAAAACTCTTATTTTGCGAATACTACATTCCAAAAATTATTTTTTCAACTATGTAAAATTTCGCAGCTGCTATAGTTAGGGATGATCACAGGTTCGGATATTTCCAATTGAAGTCAATATTCTGGTTCGCGTCCAAATCTCTCGAAGCCAGTTCTTAGCGAGTGTCCATGCATGACGTCTTCCTGCAAATCAGCCAATTTATTTTTTAACCTTTTCTGAAGCCACCTGACCACTGTGACTACTTGTTGGCGACTGGAAAAGACCTTATACCCTCTTTGTCCTGGGTATATAAAATTGATGGTGGCAGCTGACCAGCACAAAATTCATGTTTTTTGTTTTCATTTTAATGTTATAAGACTCGGAAAATGAAAAAAGTTTTGGTATTTTTACCAAAAGAAATCAACTAGTGATAATTATAGAAACAATGTATGCTAATTGGTAATTGTCATTGGTGGTTTCTAGTTGGAGACAAACAGGAACGCATGCACCAGTTGTTGCTAACGAAACGGCAATATCATGTATAGGCGCATCATTCATTTTGAATCAATAATTGTTATTTCGTAGCATGTCTTCCAAGATCACAATAATGAGAAATCATTTAAAATGATACACCTCGACTACATGTAATTAATTTTATAAAATAAAATGGTTCATTTGAAAATCGCGATTTCTTTCATCTTTTCCAATAGAATTTTTTTTATCAAAGGACACTATTTGCAAAAATTAAAACCTCTCGAACATGTTTTTAATAAATAATATTAAAAACAGTTTGCAAATGATGAAGTAATTTGAAGCATTATTTTTCTACTTCATTGAATTTTGCATTTGATTGCAGAGAGATACGAAGGGGCGTTTCCTCATTGACTACGTTTGCTCATCAATTGATCTGCTAGAGAAGGATTATTTTGGCTTGAAATACACAGATGCTGACAAGCAAGAAGTAGTAATTGATTGATGATGCATCGTTTTTATCGTCGTTGCTATTGTTATTGTTGTTGATTTTGTTGTTGTTGTTGATTTTGTTGTTATTGTTTTTTTTGTTGCCCCATTCCCCATTTTGATTTTATTATTTTTGTCATTGTTGTTTATATTATTATCACACTAATTTTATTAATATTAATGTTGTTATTGTTATTATTATTATTACATTACCATCACAAATTTTTTAACAAACATTGGAATCCTGACTTGTTCGTTGAGTTTTTTGAACTTATGCTTCTGCGTAGTTTATTAATATATACATACATATATATATATATATATATATATATATATATATATATATATATATATATATAATACGTGTCTAAGTTTGAATTAATTTGTTTTAATAAATCTAAACACTCTATTACTAATCCTCCTATTATCTTACCTGATTCTAAAACTCTTGATGTCTCTCATGAGTTTCGTAGTCTAGGTATTATCTTTGATTCTACTATGTCTCTCTCTTCTCAGATTAATAGTGTTGCTAGAAACTCTTACTTTCATCTGCGTAGAATAAAAAAACTTTTGCCTTTTCTTGACGATCCTTCTCTTCTCCTTCTTGTTACTTCGTTAGTCTTATCTAGGATTGATTATTGTAACTCGCTCTACTATGGTCTTCCTGACTCTATATTCTATCCTTTAAGTAAAGCTTTTAACTCTGCTGCTCGTCTAATTTGCACGTTCATGTATAAGTCTCAATCTAAATTATTCCTTAAGTATTTATCAGATATATTAATTGAACCTAAACGCCCTGGTTTATGATCGTCTTCTTGTTTTCGCTTTTTCTTAACTCGTGTTAAACTCTTTTGCCAAATCTGCTTTTGCTTTTTCTGGTCCTTTTCTCTGGAACTCTCTGCCTACTTCTCTGACTACTTCTCCATCACTTGCGAAGTTCAGAGCGGATCTCAAAACCCATCTGTTTTCAAAATTCATTGAGGAGCGCTGTTGAACATCGCGGAAATAGTGCTTTATAAGCTAATTGATTGATTGATTGATTCTGAAGTCAACTCACAAGAGGCGCTGTATAAATTCTGCAATACAATACAATATATATATATGTATATATATATGTATATATATATATATGTTGGTAATAGACCATAATTTTTACAATTATTCAAATCAATCAATCAATCAATTATAAAGATTTTTAATTTTTCGGTAGAATTTATAGAATATTGTAATATATATATATATATATATATATATATATATATATATATATATATATATTGGAAGGAACATATCTTGTCAATTTCCAAAAAATAAGTAAAAACCTTGGAATAATTAATAAACTAAAATTCACATTTCCCAAATATATATTGTTAAATTTATATTACACACTTATATATCCATACTTGAATTATTGTATAATAATATGGGGCAGAAACATTAAATCGCATTTGAATATTTTAATAAAATTACAGAACTATTTCATTAGAATATTTTTTGGTTTACGGAGATATGATCACGTAACTTCTTTTAGAGTAAATCTTAACATCTTAACTCCCACACAAATTTACATACTTAAAATCTTAATATTTTTTTTTTCATATCATAAATTTCAACAAATGTCCACATTTTATTGCAAATTACATGGTGCATAATAATTTAAATGATAAACAAACAAGGCATACCCATGAGTTTCGGATACCGCAACATAGAACAGAATTATATAATCAGTCGATATTCATTTATGGATTGAAATTGTGGAACAATTTAAACGTTGAGGTAAAGCAAGTGGATAATATATCTAAATTTAAAAAAATTATATTGAACCTTTTAAAAAACAATCATTTTGTCAATTATTATTAAATATTTTCATTTCTTATTGGTTTATAACAAATTTATGAGATTAACATTTTTATTTTTTTACACTGATGTAAAAGGTTTCTTTTATATCCGTGTTTGTTTAGGCGAAAGCGTGTCATAATTATTATCTTTGGATTTCAACAATTTTTCATTTAACGTATAATTTTGTTAGTTATTTTTCCTGGAATGAACATTAATTTTAATTTTCTTTGGTTCATGTTAATTCTTGATTTCGTTTTATTGCTTGATTTGATGTTGTTTTTTCTTGGTGGCCATATAAGCCTTTGCGCTTCTGGTCTCCGTAATAAATAAAATAAATATATATATATATATATAAAGTACCAATGGAACTCAGAGTTCCTTTGTTAAAAATACTATAAATACCAGATGAACTACATACAACAATATACATATATATCTAAGTATATATATATATGCATGTATGTATATATATATTTATTTATTTGTTATATGCAATCACAGCATGTTCGGCGTTAGTTAACTTCCAATTAAGAATCACATGAAAGAGAACCACAAAACTAAAATTACTAGACAAATCTTGGACCACAATGTTGAAATCTTACATTATAATAACAACCATTATAATTTACGACTAGCCGAATCAATACTCATAGAACGAAGACGTCCGATAATAAATATTCAACAACGGGCAATTGGAATTCTTCCTACCAATAAATTTAGAAACAGAGGAATCATCGATAATGAAAACACATGTTTTAATATAAAACATAAAACTTAACACCTTCTCATTTTATTTAAAACATTAGATGACCTTAACCTAAATGTTCTGAAGACCCATCGCACACAACAGATTCTTTAGTCTTGGTCCTACCATTGGTTTTGTCAGGGCATCAGCAACTTGAAGTTCTGTCGCAACTCGTTCAACTGAAACTTTTTCTTCTGCAACTTTTTCTCTGACAAAGAAATGTCTAATGTGGATGTGCTTTGTTCTTCTGTGAAGTTCTGAATTGTGTGTTAAACGAATTGCTGCTTCATTGTCGACAAAAATTTCTGGCTTTTTCTTTGGATCTACAATGTCGTTCAACAATCGTTTGAGCCATATCACTTCACGAGCTGCTTTACTTGCGGCAACGATTTCTGCTTCAGTAGTTGAAATCGCAACTGAGGGTTGACGTTGGCTAAACCAACTGATCACGCTTCCTCCAAACATACAGATTACACCTGATGTCGATCTTCCACTAGATTTATCTCCTCCATGATCTGCATCACTGTAGGCTATAAGTGTATTGTTTTGACCAGACTTGTAAACAATACCGACATCAGCTGTGCCTTGCAAATATCTGAAAATTTGCTTGACTTGTGCTACATTGGACTTGCTGGGTTTCTCCAAACTTCTGGATGCTACTCCAACTACATATGCAATATCTGGTCTTGTTCCCATCATCAAGTACATCAATGCACCAACTGCCGATCTGTAAGGAAATTTCACTTCCTCGTGTTCATTTTTGTTTTCATCGAACTCCTCAAATTTTGAAATCGGAGTTGTACAGGATTTACACTGACTCATCCCAAACTTTTCAAGAATCATTCTTGTATAGGATAACTGACTGACATTAATATTTCCTTTCTCATCTTGATTAATCTCTAATCCAAGGAAATATGTTGCAGGTTTAGATGTTATCTTGAACTCTGACTTTAATTCTTTTTCAAATATTTTTAGTTCTTCTTTATCGGTTCCTGCAACTAGTCCATCATCAACATACAGTGCAAGTATGAGTTTCTTTCCTCCCTGTATTCTAATGAACAAACAAGTATCTGCATCGCTTTGTTTGAAATGTCTCTTTTTCAAGAATTCAGCAAAGCGTTTGTTCCAACATCTTGGAGCTTGTTTAAGTCCATAGAGACTTTGCTTGAGTTTACAGACTCTTCCTGAATTATTTTTAAAACCTTCAGGTTGCTCCATGTAAATATCTTCATCTAGTTTGCTGTATAGAAATGCTGTTGACACATCAAACTGCATGAGTGACATCTTTTCATTTGCAGCAACACTTAATAGTGTTCTTATAGTTGAACTTCTGACCACAGGACTATAGGTTTCTTCATAGTCAATTCCCTTTTTCTGAGAAAAACCTTTTACCACTAGCCTGGCTTTAAAACGTTCAACAGAGCCATCTGGATTGTGTTTTACCTTGTAGACCCATTTGCATGGTATTGCCTTATGACCTTTTGGAAGACTTACCAAATCCCACGTTTGATTTTCCTTTAATGACTGCATTTCACTGTTCATGGCTTTAAACCATTCATCTTTTTCATTACTTTGAATGGCATCTTTGTAGCTTTCTGGTTCAAGTACTTCACATAATGCAGACATAACGAAAGGATCATAACAAGATGGCTTTTTGATATTATTCCTGTCACGTAAAACCATACCTTTGGTCTTTTGATTACAACAGTCAGATTGATCTTCTTCATCAGATAAAACTGAACTACGGTTGTGAACATCTTCATCAGTTGAAATATTTTCTTTAATCAAAGTTTCTTTATTTTCATCTTTGATTTCAATATCAATCGAAACTGTATCATCTGAACAACTTTCTTCTTGCAAAATCACTGAATTTGGTTTGACAACCTTCTCATCAAAAATAACATCTCTTGATCGATGCATTTTAACACGTTTCTTATTCTGATGTCCCATTCTTTCATGGTATAACTGCAATGCATCTTGATCATTGACAAAGTTAACTTCGACTTCAGAATTCAACGGTCTAACAGTTTTTGCAACAAGTTTGAACAAANCTCCACTGTTGTTTCTTATTCCAACAACACTTATCAC